CTGAGTCGCCGCCGCGGGCGCGGGGGGCGGGGTAGGGGTGGGGCAAGAGCCTGGAGAGAGAAGATGACCCGAAGTCACGGTCGCGTAGCTCCTTAGAGTTCAAAACGCATTTCCTTGTTTCCAGAGCCCCGGAGTCGTGGACTGGACCTACCCCTTACTAGCTGTGTAATATTAGCAAAGTTAGATAACCTTTCTGTGCCTCAGTTTCCCCATCTGTAAAAATGGGAATAACAATACTTAGTTCATAAAATTGCTAGGAGGATTAAATTTACTATACATCAAGCATTAATACTGTAGTCTGTTAAGTGTGCAATAGCATTATGTCTAAAAAAAGCAATGTGCGTACCTTAATTTAAAAATACCTTACTGCTAAAAGAAAGGTGACCATCATCTGAGCCTTCAGTGAGTCATAATCTTGTTGCGGGTGGAGGGTCTTGCAGTCACATTTTTTGATGGCTGCTGACTGATCAAGGTGAAGGTTGGGGTGGCTGTAGCAATTATTTTAAATAGGATAAAACTTCTTTTCATGAGAATGATTTCTCTGTAGCGTGGGATGCTGTTTGATAGCATTTTACCCACAGTGGAACGTCTTTCAAAATTGGAGCCAGTCCACTCAAACCCTGCCACTGCTTCAGCACTAAGTTTATGTAGTAGTCTAAATCCTTTGTTGTCATTTCAACAAGCTTCACAACATCTTCACCAGGAGTAGATTCCATCTCAAGCCACCACTTTGTTTACTCATCTGTAGGAAGCAATTCCTCATTTGTTAAAGTTTTATCATGAGGTTACAGCAGTTTAGTCACATCTTCAGGATCCACTTCTAATTCTAGTTCTCTTGCTATTTCTACCACATCTGTAGTTATGTCTTCCACTGAAGGATTGGATTGAGCCCCTCAATGTCATCCATGAGGGTTGGAACCATGAATGGCATCTAGAATGGTAAATCCTTTCCAGGAGGTTTTCAATTTGCTCAATGCAGGGTTGCCACAAACCTTCAATTTGTTAAAAACACGCACACGCACACACGCAGTATCTGCACAGTGCAATAATTGAAGCATCATAAAACGAGGTATGCTGTATTTTCAGTCAGGGGACAAGCAGTGTTCCAGTTAGAGAGAAATCTTGTTTAATGACCCACAGAAGAAAGTAACCCACATATAGGTGTAGAGTTAAGTATAAGTGGATTATGCAGAGACTAGAAGGGTCATGTAGTATGGGGATGGATTGGAATGAGGCCAAGCCTGCAGACAGGAAAACCAACTGGAAAGTGGTTGCAGTAATCCAATGAAGAGATGATTTGCCAGGGCAATAGCAGTGAAGATGTTGCCATACTGGGTATTCAACTCCAGAGTGGGATTGAGTGTGAGTAGCAGTGGAGTGGGGCCTTTCCCTTTCTCCAGTTGTAATTTGTCTGTCTTGATCCTCAGTGTGGTTGCAGTTATGGGATCAGGAGCCCCTTGAGGCCAGGGCAATACAGCACCATCTCTGAAGTAGCTTTACAATCTGGAAGAGGTACAGTGTTCCTTCCCTCAAAGGCTGCTGAGCGGGTGGTGGGCCGATGGCTCCTGGTCTGCAGTGGAACAGTGGCTGGAGCAGTTATTCTTGGTGGAGTAACTAGGTGAGTAATTTGCTCATTGTGTGTCAGCTGTTTCGGTCATCAGTAGAGGAACAGGATGACCAACAGTGAAGGGACCCTAGGAATCATGTAGTCTATCTCCTTCATTTTACAAATGCAGAAACTGAGGTCTAAAGAGGGATTATGTCTGATGGCTTGCCCTGACATAGTACATTTCAGGTTTTTTTTAATAGGAGTGCTTCACAAAGAGTGGTTTAGATCTTAAACACAAACTGCACATTGTTTGTGTATATTTCCCCCTACAATCAGAGTTCAAATTTGTCTCAAAATTTTTTGTACAGTTAGTTTGAATTAAACCCAAATAAATTCCATACATCACAGTTAGCTCATATGCCTCTTACGTCTTTTTAAACTTCCTCCCCTGTACCCCCATCTTTGCAGTTTTTTGTTGAAGAAACCCAGAAACCTAAATCATTTGTCCTGTAGAGTTTCACGGTCTGGCTTTTCCTGATTGCATACTGTGGTGGTGTTTAACAAGTCCCGTTTTCCCCTGTATTTCCTGTAAACTGGTTATTGCTTGATCAGATTCAGGTTGGGGCAGAGGGCAAAATACTTCATAGGTGATTATAACGTTTATAAATATCTGGTATCAGAGATGTCAGCCACCATTGATGATCATTGCCTAGATCCATTATTTCATTAGAGTTGCAAAACTGTAATATTGTAGTAGCTCAGCTCTAAAGAGAAACTTTGCCTCACCAACAACTGGGTTATCCTAAAGTACAGTGTATATAGGAAAGGCAAGATAAATACTTGATTCTTTCCCTTTATTTACCAATTTTCAAAATTCTAAATTGGTTCCCAAGCACCCTCCAAAGGTAACCAGTAAAGTGTGAGTTTTTAAGTATCATTGTGAGCTCATAGGTTTAAACAAACTCGGTGTGTTTCAATCTATTGCAATGATGACGTTTTGCTCAAATTGTCCCATCTTTAGTCAGTGAGAACCTCTCAAGTTGGCTCCAGAGTTGTTTTGATAGGACCCTGTAACCACTGAGTCTTTGCTTTCTGGATGATAAGATATTCCAGGCTCTTGTACATTTCCTGTCTCAGGCCTAAAGTCAGCCTTTTACTTTAGGAACCCTAACTCCTTTTGGTGAAAATACCTTTGGTTTTAATAAAGTATATGTGTTCTCAAATTCCCTCCACATTCCTGTGCCCTTATTTCAGAATACTGAATGTGTTACATAGGCTGTTATGAGAGCCGACAAATTTGAGTTTTACTGTCTTTAAATTCACTCAAGAACCTAAAATGTTTTATGCCTATATCAATTCTCTTTTCCTTGTGTAAATAATGTTGATTATGCATTTAGGGCAAATTTCTTTGGTGTAAGGGTTGATTTTGTTGTTTTTGTCAAAATTCTAAGCAGTAAGAGAAGAGGAAGGTATCAGAGAGGAAACAATGAAATGATGTGTTTACCTTTAGAGAGGTTATGTTCATATCCACTTGTTGCCATAAACTACGAGTAATCCAGCATTACGTGTGCACATTCACAGATACACACACTCACATTCAAATATCTTTCCTAAGGTTGACAGAGTCTGGCCTCTCAATGGTAGATTGGCATTTAATAAAGGAGATGAAGCCACCTTCAAGTCAAGAAGAATGGGAAGCAGAATTCCAAAAATACCAGCAATTTCCAGAATTTAAAATGTAAGTATTATAGAAAGTCAGGCAAACATCCCATGAGATCCACTCAGTCTTTTGCTTATTTAAATGTGTCAGAATGATTAGATTCATTATTTCTTGATATTTGAACTGTTATGTTTAGTTAACTTCCTACTCTAAATCTCCAATTCTGAAGTGATCCTGAGGTCACTAATGAGGGAGATGGCAGACCTAGCAAGCTTCAAGACTGAGAATGTTCCTGCATTCCATTGGGAGATAAAAATCAGATGGAGGCTTCCTCTTATTTTTTGACTTCCCTTTTCACCCAGCTTGAATCATGATATGACATTGGCAGAATTCAAGTTCATCTGGTACATGGAGTACTCACATCGAATGTGGGGTCGCCTTGTAGGCCTTGCATACATCCTGCCTGCTGCCTACTTTTGGAGAAAGGGCTGGCTCAGCCGCAGCATGAAAGGACGTGCTCTTGCCCTCTGTGGGTTAGTGTGCTTCCAGGTGAGATGTACTCAAGTTTGGGAAACCAGAGATGCTCCCAAGAACTTCCTAGTTAGCATTGTTTTTAAGGAGGTAATTTTATTAGAGAGTAGGTGAGAGCTTGGATTTTAGTGTCACATGCCTGGCTTCAAGGCCCAGCTCTACCACTTAGTAGGGCAAGTTCTAACATCTGTAGGCTATGCTTTTTTTGCCTGTAAATAGGGATAATAATAGTGCCTACTGTTTAGGTTGCATGAATATTAAGTGAGATCATGCATATAAAGTACTTAAGTTAGT